AAAGAGGCAGGCATTGGCTGTTCATTTTCCAAGGATGAACTTGCTGATGGTTCTATGGCTGGAAAATCTGATGCTCGACAGTTGGATGTTGGTTCTGGTACTACAGAATTGATCAGCCCCAAACAGATGGCTATTGAAGGATTTAAGGCACAAAGTGAAATGGTGATTGACAGTCTTGATAGGCTGATTACCGCATGGGAAGAGAGAAAAGAATCAGTAGTTGTTGAGGGTGTTCATTTAAGCCTTAATTTTGTTGTAAGGCTTTTAAGTCTAACTTTTCTTTTAGATCTTTTTTTCTTGTTTCAATTCTTTCTTCACTATAAATTTTAACTCCTGCTGCAGATGGGGCTTATGAAAAAACATCCTTCAATTATACCTTTCATGATCTACATTACCAATGAGGACAAACACTTGGAACGGTTTGCTGTTCGTGCCAAATACATGACGCTGGACCCAGCAAAAAATAAGTATGTTAAGTATATCCGTAACATCAGAACAATACAGGATTATCTCTGCAAAAGGGCTGATAAACATTTGGTTCCCAAGATAAACAATACAAATGTTGATAGGAGCGTGGCAGCCATTCATGCAACTGTCTTCAGCTGCTTGCGCAGGCGCGAAGCAGGAGAGCAGCTTTATGATCCCACCACAAATACTGTTGCCCTAGTGGATGAGGAGTACAGGAATCAGTGTGCTGCCAATTCATTGAGTTCCAAAGGAATGTTTCAGCTGATCCAGAGAAATGGTTCGTCTAGGCATCTGATGGCTCTTCTGAACACAGATGGATCTGTTGCAAAGGCTTGGCCTGTTGATTCAAAGGATGGTCATGGGAAGGGCATATTGGGCCATGGAACAGAGAACGAAATAGGAAATCCAATGTATGGGCCCTTGCTGATTGACAAGGCTGAACCGGTGAATCTTCAGTTCGGTCACTTTGGAATCAGTGCATGGCCTAGTGATGGAGGAACAAGTCATGCTGGAAGCATGGATGAATCTAGAGGTGACTGCACTGACACTGGAAGTAAATATTACTCTTCTTGCTGCAGCTCTCCAAGGATGTCTGATGGACCATCCAAGGAGGTATTCCAATCCACCTATCAGTTAATTTTATCATGAATGAGAATCCTTGTGTATAGGACTTTTTTTTTTCATTGTAGGGTCATAGCTCCAGATGGTTTTTACTCCAATAATAAGTACCATAAGGTCACATTTAGTTCAATTATTCAAATTTTTCTTTCCCTCTTAATTATTATATCAATCTTGTATTTATAATATTAACATAATCTTTATAGTTGAATTAATCTCACTCATGTTCGCTGAGGGTGGGTTTCCAATTTCTATTTTTGGTGGAATTTTGAGGAATGTGAGATTATATTGTGTTGATTATTTCTCTTTACTTCCTTGTTCCTCCTCTTAGATATCCCACTAAAACTTTTTTCCATCTAATGTTCAAATTTTAACTCTTTTCTTTGTCTTTTGTAGCTCAAGGAGGAAAATTCGGTGCATGGTAGTGATGAAGAGATTGATGATCCTCCCGAGGCAGATAGTGATGAAGATATCAGTGATGATATTGATAAACAGGTCCATGAAGAGGTATGTATTTACAGTTCCTACTGTATTTGATAAAATTCTTAAAGTAGCATTTGGTAGCATTGGAGTGAATCACTGGCCAAATGTACATTTTAATATAGAGAATAAAAATTGAAATGTGTACTGTACGTTATTTTGTGGCGAAAGGACAGGCACATATTATGTACTACCAAGGTTACAAAATTTGTCCTTATTATATTGGGAAATGAATACGACCATATCTCATGTTTTACGATGTCACACCACTGCTACAGGAATTGTAGTTGATGGAAGTTTTTTTTAGGTTTGTCCGTGAATAGCAAAAGCTGGCTCGAAGACCATTATTTCCCTTCTTTTATCTTTTTGCTCATGCACCATTCGCCTTTTAATAGGTTGGCTCAGTTGACGAGGAGTCCACGAAATCAGATGAAGAATATGATGATCTGGCAATGCAGGATGTTCAAGAGAATGGCTATTGGTCTGATGATGACGATGACCACAGAGACAAGACAGTGCTTGGGGACCGTACGAGTCCCATGAAGAGAGACAAGTATACTCAAAACCTGGACCGCTTCCTTCGAAGTAGAAGCGAGTGTTTGTCTGAACCTCTATGCTCCTATACCTCCCTGCTCATGGAGAAGAGTGATAGGAAAATGCCACCTTCTGGGAACACTAAAGTAAGAAAACGTTCCCTCAGTATTCCGGCACTGGGGAAGCACGGATCAGTTATTAATGATCCCATCCTTTCAGGAGCACCTCAGAGGTAGCAGAACGCATTTTCTAGTTCTGGTCTCCTACTTTTTAACCCTCCTTTTGAGAGATTTTTAGGTTATTTAACCCGTCGTCCCCCCAATTTGCATTCTCTTTCCTTATTTTCTTTTCTCCTTTCCATGTTGTACAGCTCGGCATGGATGGTTTTTTTATGTGCATTTTTGTTTCCGAATCAAGATAAGAATTTTTTATGGTCTGGATGTGATGGGTGGTTAGATATTCAGGACATGGACTTCTAAGCGAATTTCCTTCGTTATGATCCCTAATCTCTTCTTAATTGATGGTTTGCCAAAACTTCTAGCAAGGATGACTGTTTGTTTGGATTTGCAATTAAAATGTTTTTCTAGGCTGTCGAACTGAAGTTTCATTGTTTGCCCGTCGCTAAAATTTTAAATATGCGAATATATTGATCTTAAAATAATTACAACATTAAAAATTAATAATAATTACTCAAAATACGTAATTTAAGTGAGGTGGTGTTTCATCTGTGAAATTGGCGACTTAAATAATATTTTGTGATATTATATATGATGGTAATTTTTTTTGAGATAAATATGAAACGCTAAAACTACTATGAACACAAACTGTAACAATTAAGAGCACGATTTTTATATCGTAGATAAAATAAGTCGTGGACAAATCTTATGACAATTAAATTTTACGAGAACTATTATGCTAAAATCGTTTTGAAATTTTGTAATGTTATAACTGCTGTACTGTACAAATAAAACTATTGTCTATAAAACCATGTAAATTCATAACTTCGCGTACTAGTCTCTGATGAATTTTCTTTCTCGATTCATATAATTTTTTCACAAATTCATGTGATATTTTAATATATACATATTGCGTATAAGATGTTAAAAGTTAGAAAAAAAATAATATACAAGACCATCTAAAATTCACATTATGGAATAATTTTAAGAGGGGGCAAAATTTGCCATTTTGCTTTCGTTTGGGATGATATTTCTTTAAATCGACATAATTATTGTCTAAGTGATAAATTAGATCAGTTATGATATAACACATAAAAAAAATAACCTTCATATAATACCGAGATAAGAACTCGTAACAATGAGATTTGAAAATGGCATGACTTTGCACTTCAATGACTCTTTGGAAAAACTTTGGGCAACTCTTTGGACAATTTAAAATTTTGTTTCGTGTTTAATTTCAATCGAATAGTTCTTTAAAATTTAAATTGATTCCACACTTAATAACACCAATGGGCAATTGAGTTTTGTATGTTTTACATAGGTCATCTTATTGAAATTTCATAATGTAACTTTTAACAATGAAAAGTTAAAAGATCATTTGAAAGGATGATTCTTCTAAGACACCATAATAGAATCCCCTAGAACATGACTGACAACATCACTCGCAATAACAATAGGATACATCAGTTACGTAGAAAAAACAGCTTGAAACAATTATCCGCTACTCCTGGAAAGGTGTTGAACGCGTTATCAATTAAATCATAATGAATGTAGACGTCTCCTCTACGGCATTATCACTTAATAATAATTTCTCGTCTCAAAAAATAAAGTCTGGATGGTGGTTTCTAACTATCCATACACATAAAATGGGCAACAGCTGTAAGTGGATTGTGTAGATAAGTCATACCAGGAAGATGTTTTGAAGCCTGTTTTACAAAATGGAGCACCAATGTTGGACAAGTTTCACTTGGAACCTTCCACTTGATCTTTCTCCAATAACTCGTTGATACAGAACTCGTGCAAGTTTTCATACATTTTCTTCCATTGCTGGACCATTTGCATGCATCTTTTGCACTCAAGCTTTAATTGCTCCACATCCATTTCAGTTGCAGCAGAACCTTGTTTCTGAAGAAGATGCCAGTTATATAACAATAATAACGAAAACAAATCAGTGTTAAAATGCTAATACTGATATTGCGTTCCCAATTTGAAATATAAAAATAACTACAGTCTCAACTCTCTGTGATTTGTTCTTATTTTACATGCTGGTCTTTCGCGTAAAATGATTAAAGAGAAAATCAAACCATAGTGATTGAATTGTTAAAAAAAAAAAAAAAACAGAAGGTGCTTATTGCAATATGACCACACTACAGGAAAACAACTGTATTTTTGTCCTAAAATTTTAAAAAAGAGAGATGAAGGCACCTGAAGTTCTTTAATTTGATTGTGAATCACGTGAGAACTTGAGTATGAATTTTCCAAGAGAATATTGCCAACAGCTTGGAGATTAACAATAGTTTTGTTGTTATACATGTCTTCATTTGCTGAATTTGAATATTTTTCCAGTGGGGGTGGTAGCAAATATCCATGCCTCCTGGAAGGTTGCATCTTTGAATAGCGAGGATTAGAATTGACTGGCTGTCTAACAAGAAGAATATTATTCACAGGACCTGTGCCAATACACAAGAATATCAATGCAAATGAGAAACTACAAATTGAATTAACTCAACTATATGGAAACACATGCAAAATAAGTACCAAATAACCGTTCTTTGGGTGCCAGCAAGCAACAACGATAGATGAAACTAATCTCTAATATTAGTTGCTTATATCACCATTGAACAGTTTAAACGAATAATTACTTGCAACATTAGATATGAATGTGATTTGTCTTTTGCACTTGACATTTCTTATGACCATGTACAAATACAAGACATGTGATGTATCTTTTGCTTGTTAAAAGAAAAAAAATCAATATTCATAATAACATGCAATTTTCAAAGTATCAAGTAAAACCTTTTGAATGCATGAACATGCGAACAATGTTATGGGTTTTTGGATCCCAAACTCGAACAACACCATCTTCTGATCCAGACAGCAGCAAATTTCCTTCTGTACTATAGGTTAAGCAAGTAACAGGCTTTCTGTGAAAAAAAAAAAAGAAAAACAAAGTTTGAATTTGTTAATGAATACTCAAAACGAACAAGAAGGATGATAGAGCAGGATTTAATCACAGAAGTGAGACAGTATCTTCCATCAATCAATCATCTTCTCCATAATATAAAGGATCTGAAGTATCTTTCACCAGAGTTTACAGCATATGGAACACAGATTACAGCTTAATACCATAAAAAAGTATGAAATTCTAATAAAATTCTCAAATTAATGAAACCTGAGTTAGTTATTTAGAAGAAAATGAAGAATGCAATAAAAAAATGTTTCCAAGATTACCAAATTTATAACAAAGAGACCCTCTACGTTGTTGTCTACAGGTTAAAAAGTTATTTTGGAAGGATATCACAGAGAGCCATATTTTACATGCTCTAATAGAATCCTAGGTCTTCATTTGATGCCTACCTCTTCTCTTTGCACCATATCCATCATTAAAGAAAAAAAATCCTGAGCCAGTGCCCCTGCTTCCATCATTTGGCACTTTCCTCCACCATTGTACTGACAATGCCACAGCCATAAGTTCAAAGACCTCCAACTGTTCACTCCATCAGTTCTTAGCCCCTAACTCCATCAAGAGCCAGTGCAATCTCTAGCCAAACAGAAGATTGTTGCAGGATCATCAGAAGCCAATGTTACCAATCAGATCAGCAACCAATGTTGCAGGATAATCGGAGGCTTGATCTCCTACAGGCACCAGAGCCTGGTGCAACTCTCACACGCCAGACGCTCTAACCGGTTTCATCTACGGTTTTCAGATTCAGTTTTGAAACATGTATTAGGTTCAAAGGGGGTAAGCTCAGTTTATTCATTATCTAGAGAATTTATTTTAAACAACATATCAGGTTCATTATTTGTATCACAAATAGTAGTTAAAATATCTTCTTTCTCTATTGGTTCTTTTCCCTTTTTTATGTGAAGAGATTTAGATTCAAATCCTCCTCAAAGCTAGAAAAAAACTAACACTTGTATAGCCTAAGAAGAAGCTAGTATTTTTACTTTTTGATTAAGAAGCAGAAAAATTAATCACACAGCACATTTGAAAAGAAAAGAATGAATTCACATGTTCCAAAAGGATATAGTTATAGAGTTAATATATTGCAGGTTTACAAAAGAAGATAACTGATATATCATGAGTTCCAAAAAAGAAAACCTCTTGGTCTTCACTTTCGGGCCTATCTCTTCGTTGACTTATAGAAACTCATAACCTATACCAAATTTAGGACATAGTATGTTAAAGTCAAATTCTTCACCTCCTTCCTGCTATCTCTTTCAATCTCCAAAATCCTATTCTACACCAAATCCCCATTGTTAAACATCACTGCTTTTAATTTCCTTCTCAATGAATCTCATTGCAAAAAGAATAAATACTACTATTCACTTTAATTTTCTAACTACCAAGTCCTAACTTACCCAGTTCTTCTTCATAAATTTGCTTTCCTAGTTTTAGCATTCCAGTTTAGGAAGCAGGATGATCATGAGTAAACCAGCAATGGAGAAACAAATATGCAAATTCTGGTAGTTGCTTTTTTTTTTCGGGGGGATGTTAGCTGTCTAGCTATCTATTGTTTAGAATCCAATTCTTCTTGAATTAAGGATCCAATCGGGAACCATATCAATCAGCAAACCCGTAAAACTATTCTAAACACATGCAATTTGTAAGAGAAAGAGCATCTGGCAGCAATAACAATTCATCGGAATCATTTCTATCACAAAGAAAGAACTTGAGCATGTATGGAAATATTTTTTAGTTTGTAGACATAACACCATTAACTAATATCCTTTTTTTCACGTCGCTGAACCTATATACTGGTACTAAGTTTTTAACAACACAGATAACTTGAAAAGTAACTGAAACTCCCACAAGTCTTGCCAAAAGTTAAGTAGAAGCATGTGCTTAGAAAAATCCAACAATTTGCAAATTCAGAACATCATAGAGAACTTTCAGGGTGAACGAAACAACCAAACAAATGAGAGACTTTATAGATAAAAGAGTGAGAGCTATTTTCTATGGTTATGTGCCTCAGGAACTAGTTAAAAAAACAACAAACCTGTGATCAGATAAGGAACCAATAATATGCATCCCATAATTGTCGTTAGATCCAGTTCTGGCATTAAGCGCAGCAACATAGATCTTGCCATCTCTGCTGCCAGCATAGAAGACATGTTCGCCAGGGTCCAAGGCGATTGCATCAATTGCAGAAGGGAAAACAATATTTCTCAACAATAAACCCTTAGACAAGCTCCAAACCTGAACCAATACACATTACGCCATTTTAATAGAGGAGTCCAGAGCTTCTCCAAAGACAATAAATCTGAAAACAAATCCACTATATCTTCATAAAAATTATCCTAATGAAGCGTTAATGACCTTCCTCATTGTTCCATAAAGACTAACTTTTGTTTATTCCAAATGGACTCCAAGATGTTCTAATTGTGCTCTGGTACAACAATCAGGTTCGTGAACAAACGAGCACAAAAAGTTTACATATCTCAGCATATCCTTGCTTTAAATCAGTGAATCAAAAAAGACCAATGAGGAAAAATATGATCTCACTTGCCACAATAGTTTGAATAATAAGTTACAAGTAAAGAAGTGGTTAAGCAAGTTAATCTGAAAGTGTTTCATGATGCAAATATTAGTCACATTAAAAGGAAAAATCCATATCGAACCTTACAGGTTCTATCCTCCGAAGCTGAGACTATTATGGCATTGCATCCTCCATATCCCATGACAATATCAGTTATTGGCATAGTGTGCTGTGTAAAACTATGCTCATAAAGATGGCTACCCCGCTGCTTTTGATAATCATCAAATACCCTATATCAACAGAGAAAGAAACAAAGAATCAGAAATACACTCTAATCGTTAAGCATCAAATCAATATTGCAAAGTGAAACTAAATTAGAAGAAAAGTTATTACATTAACAGCGACCAGACTCTAACACAACCATCCACAGAACCTGAAACCAGCAGCGAATCATCCTCGGAGAACACCAAGCGCGTTACTGGCCTATAATGTGCGTGCCACTTCCCAAGCAACCTTCCAGTTGCAACCTCCCAAAAGTAAATGTGACCAGAGGTACCTCCACCAGCGATGTACGTGCCTTCGGTGTTAGCAGCAAGCGGCTTGATCGGCTCTGCGGGGAAGCTCTTAACTTCTACTTGGGGCTGCAGAACGAAAATTCACAGTACCAATCCAGCCAACAGTAAATACACAAAACCAATAATAAATAAAATTTTAAAAAGAGGTAGGCATATATATATCAACGGTCAAGGTAGAAACTGTAAACACCAAAACCTTGGACCAGGACCAGTAGAAGATAGAGCCGGAGGAGGCGGAGGGGTCGCGGAGTTGGGAGGAAGCGATAAACCGGTTGCCAACTGCGGCGAGACCGTGTGAGGGAGACGCGCATGATTTGTAACGGAGCTGTTCCGCCCCTGTTTGTAGATCCCAGCAGCCAATACCGCCATCGATTGAGGATGACGCAATTACTATTGACTCCATTTTTTATACCTTCAAGAAGTCTCCGGCGGAAGAATTGGCATGTATAGGTGACTAAATTGCATGTCCCTGTACTTCTGAGCAGCGAGTTACGTGGGAGTTGCAGAGGGAGAGGGGAGAGCAGAGAACTAGGTCATTAAGGATTTGTCTGTCCAGTCAAAATAGAAGCTTTCTAATTCAACTCGGGCCCGACCCGTCAAGCCCAATACATCAAGATCCGGTTAGTAATTAGAGTTCGAATTTTTATTTTTTAATTAAATTATTAAATTAATATCAAATTTTAACATAATTATTAATTAATTAAAATTATTTTTTAAAAATTCAAATATAACATAATTATTTTAAATTTTTTTATTACAAATAAAAAAAAAAACTAAATATTTAAAATAAACAAAAAATATAATTAGAAGTCTCTAATATTAATAGCAAATTTTCAAGATTTGGTTTCCCAAATCTGATAGAACAGAAGCAATACTGTCAATTCCATTGAATCAGAATCCAGCTTGCCATCAAATGTTCTCAAAACCTGCTAAACTTCTTCAATACTCAGTTCTCATGAATCCTATTTCAAATGCTCTCAAATCGAATGACAGCTAAAGAGAATGTTCTACGAAAGCTCCGAAACTATTTTAGCAATTTCTTCCCCTCTGTTGCCACAAACTCCTGCGGCAGGGGTTCAACGAACCATTTGGCAATTTGGTTTGTCTTCCATTTTCCTGGTTATTATTGTGACCTTTAAAAGACAACCCAAAAATGATAATGTCAGCTTTGGAAGTTTGGAACCTATTCTCAGTCATCAATCTGATCTTTTTAATCAAACAACCCTGAAATATTCGCTTCCGATTCAGGGCACATGGTAGAATAGATCAAACATCACAAGTTCAGTTCACCACCACCATCATCCCCATCTTCATTTTCATATCCGGCCAATAACTTCTGCTACTTCTTTTTCTTTAACACCCATGCCAAAAGAGTCTTTATGAGAGAAAGCAGGAAATCCTTTTTCTTTCTTAAAAATTTTAGCTTCCACCGGAAACTTTTTGTTGTATCATAGATCTATCAACTTTATAAACCTCGCTGCATTAGGGTTCACACCTCTTTTAACCATTTTGTTCAACAGCATTTTTGCTTCCTCAATATGATTTGAGTCACACAACCTACAGGCTATCTTGCTATATGCAGATAAATCAACCTCAAATCCTTTCATTTCCATCTCAACTTGCCAAGCAAAGGCTTCATATACCATCCCTCTTTCACATAATCCATTAATCAAAGTATTAACTATCACCTGGTCCAGCTGTACTCTTTTCCGCTGCAGCTTATTCGTGTATCTTAACGCGAGCTCTACATCTCCCCCTTTGCAAAGACCATTTATCAAACCCCAATGGGTATCAGTATTCGCGTTGACACCTGCTGCAGTCATTTGATTGAACAACGAAAATGCTAACTCCACGGAACCCATTTTTCCATACCCGATTATCATCAAATTATACAAATGGGCGTCTACTCTCAGACCCTTATCATGCATTTCCAAAACCAACTTCTCAGCTTCTTTGATTTTTCCGCAACTTGTAAACCCATCAACCAAAATTTTGTATGTATCAAGATTAAATGCTTCATTTTCCTTTTCCATTAAATTCAATATCAAATCCAACTCTCCAAAACTCCATCTCTTAGCACAAGCATCAATCATTGTATTATATGTAGTGATATTGGGTTTAGTTCCTTTACCAATCATCTCCTCTACCAACTCCCTCCCTCTCTTTATCTCTCCATTCTTGCATAAACCATCAACCATAACAGTCAATGAATATACAGAAATCTGAATACCTGATTCCAGCATTTGATTAAAAAAAGCTAGACCTAATTCCACCTGATCATTTTTGTTGAGAGCAAGTAAATGCAGGGTACAGGTTCTCTCATCAATCTTAATTCCATTACTCTTCATATAATTAAAATCCTCCAAAACTTCATTGAATTTCCCATTATCAGAATAAACTTTAAGCACCAAATTGAAAAACTTGGCTACAACTTTCGATTCAAAACAACAACTTGGAACTTTAGAGGCTATAGCGGGAAAAGGGTACCTGAGAATCTCGTCAACCGATACAGATTTCAAGAGTTTCTCTGCATCTGAGAACTTTCGTTGCATGAGAAGCCTGCCTATTAGAGTCAAGTGGGCTTGGAGATCGGGTTCGAATGGGATTACTGAGGGATTCTCCAGGAGGAAATTGAAGAAATCTAAACATTTTGAGGCGCTGAATTGTCGGTCAGACAGAAGGTGGTCGAGGATTGTGGAATTGAGAGCGGACAGAATAGAAGGCGGGGTGTCGATGAAAGGCGAAGATGATGAAATTAGGGTTCTGCAGATCGATTCCATGTGTGCTCTTTTCACAGTTTTGAGACTTCTGAGGAAATTTTGAAGTGACATTTCTGCAATATCAAATTTTGGTTATGGAATTTTTTTCCTCTTTCGTTAAACTGGAAGGAGAGACGAGGTGGCGAGTTCTACTCTACTGCTTTAACTGTTCTTTTAAAAAAAAATTTATTTTGGAATAAATTTAATTCCAATTAAAATAAAATTAATTTTTTAGTAGAACTGAAATAAAAATAAAGATAAGCGCATGAAATCAATTTCCCTTATCTGTTCTGATAATAAATATAACAACAAATATAAACTAACATTACAACATAAAATATTTTACTAATCAGAATTTAATTAATTTTAAAAAATTAAAATTACATTAACTATATATATATATATATATATATAGATTTTGAATGGAATGGGCCAGAACAGGCGTAACGAATTGGGTCCGAGCAACTCTAGCCCAACAATCTTTTCGAAAGTAAAGACAGGTCTTTAAAAGTTTAAAGTTAAATTATTGATAGCGTGTGACACGAATTTTTATTTATAACTCAATAATCATATATTTCTTAAATGTGAGATTGAGTATCACATTTTTCACCGCTTAAATTTTTAATATACTTATTAGGATCATATATCATACCATCACAAATTATAATTTAAATACTTATAATATCTAATATTATACTAACCGAAATAACCAAATTGGTAAAAGTTTACGATACCATTTATAATATAATGAGTCCAAACGGTTACTAACATAATAATTTTTTGAACTCAAATTACTGGTTCTTAAAAATTTAAGTTCAAATCATTAATAACGTGTGACTCGATCACTTATATAGAACTTTTTAGTTATAACATTAGAAGCCGGCTACTCTATTAATTCAACATGTTAGATCGAATTGAAAGTGTATGAATCAAAGTGCCAGTTGAAATTGCAGGGAGAAGTTTGCTAAGAACAAATGAAAGAGAAAAGAGAAGGAGATAGAAATTTGTTGAGTGTAATTGTCTGTACACCGTAGCCCTAACTGGGGCTAAACACTGCGAGGCCATTACTGCAGCCTCTGCAAACATATCTATATATTTATTTGTATAAACAGAAGGAAAGCGTATACATTCATACACATGTAAGGACACGTTTTCGAGGGTTTTGATTTTGCTGGTTGAAATTAAGATGATGTGATT